TGAAGATGAGGATGCATTAGCAGAAATTAGCTTTTTGCTTCTTCCAGGTTCATGAAGCTAAAAATATGGCATTATGATTTGCAATGCATATATTTTAATTGTCCATCATTGTTTCATTGGTGTAGTTGAATTAAAACGAAGAAGCAAATTAAAGAAATGGAAATGACAAAATATGTCTTGCACAAAAGTTTTCAGATTCATTCCACATTTTCTGTAGTCTAAACATTTGCTCAAGACAACAACTACCTTTATAAATTTATTTTGGAATATATTGATGAGTATCAATCTATATTGCAGAGTGAAAAAGTCATACAGTATATCTCAGTCCTACACAACAGAATTTGCATTTTATAAAAGTTAAAATACAGAAAAATAAACAAGCAAACAACTAAATTCTGACTCAACGATTTCCTGAGCTGGGGAAGTGCTGAAGAAGCCAATGATCTCTTCTCCCTGGTAATTGATGGTAGGATGAGCGGGAATGACAATAAGCTGCACAAGGGGATGTTAAGACTGGATATCAAGAACAATTTATTTTGATGATTATCAGAGGAGAAGTTGTTGTTGGCACATGCCTATCAGTGTTCAAGAGACGTTTAGACAATGTTTTCAATAACATTCTTTAACTTTTGGTAGCCTTGAAAAGGACAGGCAGTTGGATAAGATGACCTTTTAAGGACTCTTCCAATTAAACTATCCTATCCGATTCCATTCATATTCTGCATTATGATCAAAACAAGTAAAAAGATGTGGTGGTTACCTAACAGAAATTCAGCTCTTTTATACTAATTACCACTCTTATTTTGAGGTCATTTCCAGTGTAAGAGTCTTTGAAGAAACAGATGAATCTATTTACAAATACACCTGAACAATACAAAATCATTGTCTTCTCCAAGTTATGGTATTCATCTATACTCTAATCTTCTTTTTCTTATTTTTCTTTTGAGTTTGTCTTAGAAGACTGAATCAAATGTTTCCATCCTCATATTTAAGCACTATTTGCTAAATTTTTTTTATGGTTTTCATATTGGAAAATAATTTTGCATTCTTTCTACCTTACAAGTCTATTACTGAAAAATGGAAATAATATTTGAGAATCACTTTCTAGAAATTGACTGTAATATGCAGACTATTTTGTTATTCTGTTCTTCCATGGGCATACATTTTTTTACAAACTGATTGTTTGAGGAAATTATTTGGCAGAATTCACATAATCAGCCTAATGGGAAGCTCAGTCAGATCACGTATGTTACATACATAACACATGCGGCCTACAATTTTCTTTGAGTAAGAAGTACAGAATGGAGTCAGTAATAACCATCTGAATGCAGTGGTTCTTGGAGCATTTCAGCAAATTCATCAGAAAATATTATACTGAAGTATATTTAGATAATTTTCATAACACAGATTAAGTTATTGAAAAACTGACGGCTGGAAAAATCTATTTCTTTTCCTTTCTGGAACAAAGAGCAGAGTTATAACTCATTTATATTTAAAGTTCCCTTTTTATCAATTTCTTTCTTGCTTTTGTGGATTATCTAGCTGCTTTCTTTTTTAGTAATGTTATATACTGCTACTATCAACAGCAATAATATTTCAACTTGACTTCATAATTTCATACATCATTTAGATTTCTGCTAAATGACATATACATTAAATTATATTCTCTACATCCTATTTGGATCTTGTGTACATTGGACCAAAAAAGTGTCCTACTGAAACCAAAGAGAGTTTTGTTATGAAATCAGATGACAGTGGGGTTTTATCCCTTATAGATATATAACATCTGAGGAAGTCCTGTCTCCACAGAGAGATAGGGAGCATGCATTTCCTAAGTGTATAAAATAACACTGAAGATGTTAATCATTTTCCAAGATCAACATTAGACATGCAGTGAGTTGAAGTATTAGACCATCCAATGAAGTTTACTAGAGAAATTTAACTAAAACATACATTTAAAATATACACTTAAAATTATGCACTGAAATAGTCTTTTGCTCAGTTTAGTACATTTTCTGGAAGCATTTCATGGATGCAGAGGAAAATACATTAAATAAAAAAAATATATATGTATATTATATAGACACTGAATTAGAGTAACAGAAAAAAAACTAGTACAGTTATGTTGGAAATACTTCTAGTAATCTTTAAGGGAGAAATTTAAATACATCTGGAGCACTTCCTCCTGCAGTATGTGGGAAGAAAAAAGAAATCCTATTCTTTTAGTAATACATAGGCTGCAAGATAAATCCTGGAGAAAAGACTATCAGCTCTTCTTATACTATCATTTGTGACTGGATAAAGAGATGCCAGGTGACTTTTGCAAGATAGGCACAATTTAGTGAATGCAGTAAATAATTCCACGGTAAAATAATATTAAGAAAGCACTGATGTAATTTTTAGCTATACTTTAATTCTAATTATGAGCTGGATACAAGGAAAAAAACCCAGCATATTCCAAAAATCTTGCTGTCTTTAAATTGACAGTGAACTCTGGTCCATATTTTGGGAACTTGTTTGGTAGAGATTATAGAAATAATTCCCAACCTGTAGCTGTAAACTAGAGTTTTACATTAAGTAAATTGTGGCACTGAGGATACAGCCTCATTATCTACTCAAGACATATTTAACAGATTGTATGAGGTTAGCATGGTAATTTACTAAAGTTACTGAAGCACTGAAGCATTCTGAGCAAATATATATTTGCTTCCCTGTTATACTGCCTGCATCATTCAATCCCAATTACCACATTAATAAACCATAGTTATCTTCATATCCTATCACATACAGTGTATAGACACATGACAATAAAAGAACTTCAGTGTACTACAATTTACTCTGTCTTATAATATTAGGAACATCCGGAGTCCTCTTGAGCCACGCTATAAATTCTTTCATAAAATTGATTGTGGTTAGGTACTTTGTGTTACAGTTAGATCTGAAGATCCAGTAATTTTACATTATGACTCCAGGAATGCCTTTTATTAAGCACCTACAATGCACCTAGTACAAATCACTGTAGATGTCAGACATGAGTGAGTCTTCTGCTGTATGGGAACTGCTGAATCATGGCCTGAACCTCTGATTGATCACCTGAGGCGAGCAGTGAGTCAGCCCTGGGAGCACAGGTGAAGGCAATCCACCTGTGCTGCTTGCTGGAAGGGGTGGAGCCTGGCTACACCTCTCTTAAACCCATTAAAGAGCTGACTACCAGTAAGGAAGGATCTCTTCTGGAGATTGCTTATTTTGAGTTTTCTGGAAAGCCCAGAATAAAGGTAAGCTCTCTATCTATTCATTTTGGTTTAATAACCTGCTTAGCTAAACCCTCTTGTATATTTCTTATATAATTATAGCATCTGTATATTTGTTGATTATATGTCTGCATACTACTTGAATATGGTTACACTTAAAAGAGCAATACAGTTGTTTGTTTGTTTTTTTTTCCTGTCTGTGTATTGACCTGTCAGATAACTTTCTATTCATCTCTTGTATTTCATGTTTTGTCCTGTTTCTGCTAAGACTCTGAGTTCTGGCAAATATAAACAGGCTTTAGGAATATCAACTATTTAAAGACTTAGAAGCCTGGTAAGGTTTTTAAAAGTGAAAGTCTTAGATGAGCTTTTTGATAACTTCTGGAAGTCACTTACCATAAATATGCAGGCAATGCAATTGAGTGGGCTCTGGACAGTTTCTGAGCAGTGCCTGAGGCTCACAATGTTGCTCCTGTATCAGGTGCCTGGAAGAATGTTTCCATTCACCAGTTGGAGGTTTTCATTAGAGCCACTCGCACTCCTACTACCTAAAACTGAAAAGTAGACAGTAAGCTTTTGGTGAACTGAAGAGGGTGAAAACTTTCTGGCATGGTGCTCTGAAGACCCACAATATATTTTATTGTTGTACTGATATAAATGCTATGCTGTTATAGTTACATGCTGTAAAAGGGTTGACTGACTTATTCTTTGTGCAGAGTAGTACCGCTGTAGTCAGTCTGATAATATCTCTGGGAAGATATTAGCAGAGTATAGCAACATATAAAACATCATAGTTCTATAGGTGAAATAGATTAAACTAGTATGAAAAATACTCATAACCTACGGACTGTACACTCTTTTCTTTTTTACATCATTCAAAAGTGATGCATTGTAATCTCATAAAACTTCCTGCACTTCTTAGAACAGTGTTGCCTGCAGAGAGGTATTTAATATCATCACCTATCACTTTTGAATGGTGTCAGATGTTCAGTACCTCCGTCAAACATCTTGAAATATGTTGTAGTCCATATGGCTCTATTCACTTGCTTCTATGCAAAATTAAAAAGAGCATGCTATTTTATTATCACTTTTAAAAGACCTTAAATCTTTCTGGTAAATGTAGAGAAGAAGTAAAGTAAAAAAATGTAAAGAGAAGTATGTAAGAAAAGTATGCTATCTCCTTGAGAAACAGAAAGAATGTAGTCTAATTCTAAGTCATGCTGTGACAAAAGCACTGAGTCCTACTCTGTTTCCAACTTCATGATAAAGTAAGCCTTCATTGTTCTACCCACATACATGCCTGAAAATGTGGGAGATTATTAGATGCAAATGAAAGACTGAAAGAACATTCTTTATTCACCACTTCTACCTCTAGGGAAGACCACTCCATACAAGAATTCTAGTATGTGAGATACAATTCTGAAAAGCCTCCTCTAGAGAGGCTGTAAATAAAACATACAACATAACCTGCTTTCTAGGTGCTCACAGTCCACATGGTAACTTCTCTGCCAGCATGTGTACTGCCTACTTAGAAGCTTTCAGGACAAATATTTACCCATGCAAGGATGGTATGCATGGATATAAAAGATGTTGTTAGTTCCAGGGCAGCCACACTCCTCACAAACCAGCTATTTGAAATGATAGCAGGTCAGATGATGCATGTGAATAAGCACCTATGGCTTTTATAGACACAATCGTAGGGTTGGTTTGACAACTCAGATTGAAAAAAATATATTATTCACAGATAAAAAAAGTTTATCTCTTATTTATTAGTTTTCAGCTTCAGTTAACAATGACTTCATTTCAAACTTTGCTGTAACATCAACCTTGCTGCTCAGCCAGCAGTCTATAAGTTACAGCAAAAATGTCTGGTAAAACAAAACAATTGCATCTTTCTCCCTAACAAATCAGGTAAGGCTCCATCTGAATATGGACATCTAACTTTGAACTTGTCACATAATCCTCTCTTTACAGTTGACAAAGCACTGGTCAGCACTGTCAATGTCACTTGTGGTAAGGTTCATGTTACGCCAAAATAGAGTCAAATCATTAACACTGGAAATAGTCACTAAGTTCATGTAGTTCATCCATTCACCCACGATCAGACAAGTGAAGCACCACGAAAGGGTGTATTTCTTCTCCGTTAACTATGAGAAGAGCTTCAAGTGTCTTGAAGTGGAAAGCTGTGGAAAGATAAACATGGGTGTGATGAAACCTGACACAGAACAGAGATTCTGCTGTTCCCCACAGTGCATCAATTTCATGACAATACATGCAGGCAGAGCTGGTTCACTCACTGCAGGCAGAAGAATAATACATTGGGAACTGTGGAACTGCTGTACAAGATATTTTAAGATCCTTTTTCTTGCAAGCATAGTATGGATTTGAAATTCACTAACTAACAGCAAGCTGAAACTTTTGCTGTTAACAAGAAACCACAACAATTAGAACAATAAAAAAGTAACAAAAAGAAATAACGTGTTCATGAATCAAATCAAGGAGAAGATTGGATTTAGCAGCACACGTAAGCAATATACAGTTTTGCAGATCATAAAATAAAAGTAGGAGGCAATTGCATTGTTTTGGTTTTTTTGTTTAATTTTTTTATTCTGTTTCTCTCTTTTTTTCCTCTTATAAAAGACGTGGCATTACTTTTGAAGTCTACTCACAATAACTGCAATATAAAACCACTGAAGTATGGTGCTTCCCTTCAAATTAATGCAAATGCTTCATGGAAAAGAAAGCATTTAACTGCACTTGAAGATTTTTTTCATTGTGCTAACAGCTTGCAAATTATCAAAATTTAATAACAAATAGCTTTAAACAAATTAATCTAAACAAATTAATTAGTTAATTAAACAAAACACTGTCTTTTTAAGAAAAATCTTGTTGAGATTCTGAGAGCTCTGATGTAACTTTGTGAGATAAGTTTAACTTTACTATTTTCCTTCTGAAACTGAAATAAAGGGAAATTCCTTTGTCTCCACAATTCCTTTCAGAAATCTGGAACTTATACTACACTAAGCTATATGCTTATGTTTCCCTGTGGAATCTTCCAGCTTCTCCACTTATTTTAGAGATCATCAATCTCAAAGTAAAATATAAAAGAACAAGACATACTGGATCTTTGAGTGACTGTTGAAGAGCAAGATATATAGCGTTTTGCTTTCTTAACGATATCCTAAAGTCATCCTATTTCTGTTGTACTGACTCTTTCAAATCAGAGCAATTTAATTTTTTTTCCATGAATGCTCTCTGAGACTGGTAAGGAATGTCTCAAATGAACATAAGGCAATCAACACTTCATGGACAGTTTTACATTTGAAAGCTTTTCTTTGGAATTGTTTGCCTTCAAATGGGAGGCAAAGTTTTCTGGCTGAAGACTTGGCCTAGGAGTAAGTGATTCCAGTTTTCTACAGAAGGCTGGGAGAAGAAACCATTTTATCCTGTGAAGGCAAGAAAGATATAAGCTAGCATCTCCCTACTTCCTCTTATCTCTGTTAATTTAAATTTGTAAGGCCTGGAAGACAGGAATAAAAGAGTTCCTACTGAGATTCACAAAGCCAAAAGCTGTCACTCTGAAACAGCAGGCTTGATCACTCTGGACTACAAGTAAGTATGTACTGTCCTCTTAGTCATCAACTGACCACCACAGCCTTGGATAACTCACCACTACCAAAGAACGAATGGCACCTGACATCCAGGCATTTCTGGATCGAGGAGTGGTGAACCTCTTTGCTTTGCTGTGTCTGCATATCTGCCTGTTTGCTCTTTTTCTTCATTTTCTATATTTTCTTTTCATCTTCTTTTACTCTGTCACTCCTTGTAGTAGCTGTTGCCTATTATTGTCTTATCTGCAACACATATTAATCATAATTAGCAAATTAGCCAATTTTACCTCCAAGTGTGAGTTTGTTGGAAATATCTAGTGAGAGAAGTATCTATTCCTGATTTTTCTGCCAGTTCACTGGCAAGGGTGGTAAGACTTATGTCATCCAGAGCTGTGTTATTGGGGTGTAGATGCAAAAATGGGTACCCTGCATTACACATACACTTTTTTTTTTTTTAAGCTTGAGTCATATCTTAGGAGATCCTATTTTCCCAGGCCATTCTACTTGTGGCATCTAATTTTTCTGCAATTCCCTTTATTGCACTCTTTGTATAATTTGTAAATATTCATTGATTATAATAGGTATAGTTAATATGGTCTACATTCTCGTTGATCATCACCCACCAGGACAGTGACTCAAACCCTGCAGCAATTCGATTTCTCACCTTAAAATCATCAGGGACAACAAGAAGTGAAAGGTTTAAATCCTTAGCTTTCCCAGATAACAAACAATTACTGATATTAGTATACTTTGCAATGATGTTTTTCACAAGAGATACGTAATCATTTACATCTAATGCTGCACTTATCAAATTAACATTTCTAACAATTGCAAGAGCCTATATTACTGTCTTTGGATTCACAATTTTAAGGGTCCAGCTGGCTTCAGTTCCCACTGTGTTCGAGGGATGTTCTTAACTCTAGTATGATGTATCCACAATGTTTGTTCTTTTAATTTTTACTGTTGTTAGCAGCACCTGGAGCAGACCTATCCAGCTTGGTTCCAGGGGTGAATCTGAATGAGTTCCAGTATATACATATAATCTCCTGGTAAAATATTATGTATCAAACCATCAAGGCCTTGGTTTCTAGTTCCTAGAACCAGTTTCTTTGTTTCCCAAAGCTATTCCTGTAGACTTATCACATACTTGGACCTGGGTAGAGATCCCCGTTTGTACAACATAAGGCCTTTTGTACGGTATTTTGAAAGGACTTAACTCCTCTTTTGGCTCTAGGTTTCGTTCTGGTCCTAAGGAAGGCCAAAGGCAACAACTGTGGCCAGGATAGTTCAGCTTCCTGACCTAGTTTTACACCCTGTGATTTAATTAGATAGTTCATCTTTTTCACCTGACCACTCGCCTGTGGTCTGTGTGCTGTATGCAATTGCCAATCTATTCCCAGTGCTTCCTGCCTTGTTGGACAGTCTCTGCAATAAAATGGGTTCCCTGGTTGAAAGGTATTATAGCAAGACACCCAAACCTTGGAGTAATTTCCTGCAACAATACCTTGGTTATTTCTTTGGCTTTATTAGTCCTGCAAGGGAATGCTTCTGGCCAACATGAAAGAGTATTGGTTAGAACTAGCATAACCTAAAACCCTCCTTTTACCTGGCAGTTCTGAAAAAAATTAATTTGCCATTGTTGCCCTGGAAGGTTCCCTTTCCCAACAAGCCCCACTTGTGCCTGTTCCTGGTACTAGAATTGTACAGTTACTTTCTGGTGCTGTACCTCCCCATATATTTTATGTTCCCTTAGAACCAAATTCTATATAATACTAAAGGGCACAACAATGTGTCCATCTGGATATGCACCCACCTGTCAGCTTGCTCTCTTCCCTTCTAAATCATTAATTAGATTCCTATCCTCTCTAGAATGCCTTATAGGTTCTGAGTAAGGTTCAGATTTTTGAAGTTTACCACCTGGAATTAAAGCCGTTCTCCAATTTCTTTTCCTTCAGCTGCCTGTTTTGCCACCTGATCCACCATCATATCCCAGTTTCCTGCACAGTGTCACTCTTCTGATGTCCTTTACAATGTATAACAGCCATGATGTTCTTTGGTAGATTTACATCATGCTGAATTTGTTTTCCTTGTGTGTAAGCAACCTTTGCTCTTTCCAGATGGCACCATGAGTGGGTACCACACCAAAAGCACATTTAGCATCTGTCCATATATTTAAGGTTCTTGTCAAGGCAATTATTTCAGCCTTCTGAGTGGAAGTCCCCACAGGTAATGGTTTTGTGTCATTTACCTTGTCAGTAGCAGTTGCTGCATGTCCTGCCTTACAGTTCCTTGTCTCACAAACCTGAAACTGCTTCCATCAATGAATCCAGGACTCCTCAGCGTCGTCCAACGATTCCTCCCGTGGGTCTGACCAACCAGCACAGATAGTCTCCGTGCAGTCGCACACTGCTGGCTTGGAGGTAGCTCTGCACTGGTGTTCAGCAAGTTGCTTCCTTCTCTTTGATCAGTTGTGCTTTCTGTTGAGAAACTTGATAGCCATTTAAATCAAGAAATTCAGCAAGCTCACAGTCCATTGTACACAGTCTTCCTTTGTTACTGTGGCATCCACATACTGCAGCAAAGTTCCACCTTGGGACAGAGAAACCCAAGTCAGGCTCATGAGGTGACTGGTTCTCAAAAATCATTGGGCTGTTCTCACAACCCTGGGTAACACTGTGCAGGTTAACTGAATTTTTATTTATTCATTTATTTTTCTCTCTCCCTGTATTAGGGTTTTCCTATTCAAAGGCAAGTAATTTTGGACTTTCTTTGGCAAAACCAGGCAGAAAGATGTGTACTTCAAATCCAGAATGGGTAAATGCCATCTACTCATTCCTGAACTTGGTTAATAAAGTGTGTGGTTTTACCACCATGGGTTGTATATCTTCAACACTTGTATTAATTGACCTCAAACCTTGTATTAAATTATAGCTCTTGACATCTAATTTTTCACTGGCAAGATTGGGGTGTTGTATTTGGATTTCTATCCAATTAGTAATCCAAAAAGTTTTTTTTATTCCTCTTACAATCTCGTATCCTCAAAGGGTATTGATTTACCCTGGCTGGGCTGACTCCCATCTATAACTTAACTTCTACTGGGCTGCACTTTTGGCTGTGCCAGGCATTTCTGATGCCTGCAATCCTGTGTACACCTTATTTAGGATTTATGTAACTTCTGGGCGTACAACATTTGCTTTTCCCAGTTTGTGTTAAAGCCAGACTTACAATTTTCAGTTAATTGGTCTTGCTTGACATTTAGCTCTAATTTTCTCTACTGAATTTTATCTCTGCATTCGACTGTTCTAACATGCTATGCTCGAGTAAGAGTTTTGGAGAACCTGGCATGTACAAGAGCTTATATATTCCTACTTGTTCTCCTAGCCTGTATTTAATTGGTCCCCAAAAAGTAAACTTCTCTTGCTAGTAGCTCCTACAACTATTACAAAAATCATCTACGGGTAATAGTTCTTGATGTAGCACAGAGTAAGAGGCACCTGTATCAGAAAATAAACCTCTTTACCCTGCTTCCCAAGCTGCTTTTGGTCCAGTGGGGGTGGAACTCTCCCTGAGCCCTTCCAGTCTTCCCCTTGCCTCCTCCCTGAGGGAATCTTTGGGTCCTCAGGCCCTGTTCTAGTGCAGTAATAGAAACAGCTGCTATTGTTCTTCCCAATTTTCTTACTTCCCTTCAATCTCTGTTTCACAATCAATTGTTCCAGATCCCTCACCACTCTTCTCAGTAAGGATATCCCTATTACACCTTGCTCAACTTTGCTTTCCTCAGCCTGTGTTTTTTTTCCCAAACCTTTTTCCACTCTCCAGACTTTCATAATCACAGACATTACTAACATTATATTTCAGTTTCACCCCCCTCCCCAGGTTTCCAGTGCTTACACTGGGATATCGGGTTTCCTGAGGCAGATGACGGCTATTCTCACTTTCGATGTCCCGTCCCATCCCCATTCACAAGCAATGCACCCTTTACAGTTACAGCGGGAGGCTCCGGCCCCCAGCTCTTTCTTTCCAGTCCGAGTTGCTCTTACAAGCCGCGGAGGGGGGAGAGGGTGGTGCAGGGGATGTGTTCTCGTGCCGGCCCAAACTCACTCTTTTCCTTAACCTTTTTGCCGGTCGTTTGTTTGTTTTTGTTTGGTTTTTTTCTGCAGTTCCACTATTTGTACCCTCAATTACGTTTCCATGTACCACTAACATTAACTTCCACATACCATCAAGACAGTTTCTCCTACTCCCTTCAAACTCCACAAATCAAAAGATGAAGAACTTCAACTTCCACAAACACTCAGCACTTGGTCTCATGACTAGAGCACTCAATTATTAAAACTGATCCCGTTACTCCATTAATGTTCCAGATTTCTTATTCAATATTTCCCCTGGATCACCAGCAATGTTTCTCCAGTGAGCCAAAATACAACCCTGGGGCTCTTGTCGGTATCATTTTAGACACCCTTTGTTCCATAACAGCCAAGTGATGCTTTCACATAACCACTTAACAATCACAAAGACAGTGACAATAATCAGTACGATTTATCCTCAGGATCCTTCCTTTCTCTGCCTCCCTCCAGAGCCCAACCTTCCTTCTGTATTCCCTTCCTACACTTGTGTAGCTGCCCACCTCCTCCTTCTCCAATAAACAACATATCAATGATAAACATCATTTTCATCCGTAAGTAGAAATTAGGCCCTAGAAATTGATCTATTTGTTCTGCTACGCTTACAGGATCCTCAATTAAGGAATTTATTTCCTTCTTGAAACTCCTAACTCCTCTCCTATTTCCCTTTGACCTTCCCTAAGTGGACAAAGTGAAGTATTAGTAAGGTTAGTGTTAGAGAAAGGAAAAACTCTCCAGGTCCCATTCACGTTGCTCCAATTCCCTCAGTAATCGAGAGTGCATTCTCTTTCCAGGACCCTGCATGGGATCAGCAGCGCAGCCACTCTCCTTCTCTGGAGATATCACTGCCGCTTACATTGCTTTAGAAATTGAAGGGAGGGAAGTTATCTAAGGGTACCTCGCTCCAATTCTCGGATTAATAGGGGTGCACTGCTGGCACTTCGTAAAGTGCACAGGGTTCCGCACACCAACAGCTCCCTCCCGAGACTCACCCGAGTCTCCACTGACCACCAAGGCAAGAATTAAATTCCCTTACCTTGGTCCGTGCACGAAGTTACCGGTCTGCATGGGTCAACACCCGTGCCTGCCTGCCCCTTGGCTTTCACAGAGCCCGTCCTTTATGTAACACTCTCGGTTTTTTATCGGCCGTCCCAAGGAGTCACCCCACCACCCAGACAGGACCGCTGCAATCAGCGGGGTGCACCTATCCTGTGCAGGGCAGTTGGGGGACACCCAGAGAGGCGATAATAATCCCGGACGAGCCCCCAAATTGTTGGAAATATCCAAGTAATTTTGTCAGGACAGTATCTGATAAAAGCAGGTTTGATTCGCCTTTGCAATGGCGGGCGTCCCGCAAACAGAAGTACCCTTAAGGACACAATGACAGCTTTTTGTACCTTGTTTCCCCCTTTGCTTATCCCCCTCCCCTGTTTCCCCATTGGCTGGGTACTCCAGGTTCACAATCTTACCAAGGTTTACATTTGTTAATTGGTGTGTTATCTGGTGTCAGCCAGCGGCCATCCTGCTGTATCCAAGATGCCTCAGTGCTCTTCTTGTCGTATTGATATGGTGATTTTCTTTAAAGCCTTCGCTAAACAAAGAGCACAGAGGGAGCGGGGGAGGGGGGGAGGAATGACGGACCTTCCTGATGTCTCTTCAGGCTCTTCCTTGGGCATGGCATTGCTTGTTCTCTGGTTTGATCAATCTCGTGCGGGATATTCTTGCAATGTGTATGATAAAATATACATTTATGCATCTATATACGGAGCTTGCATTGCTAAGGAAGGTCCGTCTAATGGATAAATGATGCAAACTATAAGAGATCCCCCCCAAATAAAATAGAAAGACTGCCAAAAAGAACTATGACAGCAGAGACCATGAAATGAAAAAATATTATCCAATTCTAATGCAGAAACAACAGGAGATGTAACTCAGGAGACAGAAAAACATTCACCTCCCTTGAAACCACTGGAACAAGTTGCCCAAGGAGGTTGTGGATGCCCTGGATGTATTCAAGGCCAGGCTGGATTTGGCTCTGAGCAGTCAGGCGGATGACCCTGCTTGTAGCAGGGGAGCTGAAACTAGATGATCCTTGAGGCCCTTTTCAACCTGGGCCATGTCATGATTCTATGAAATCCATTGAGTGTGACAGGACAGATGCACAGTAATACTTTCATTTCTGGTGACTGGATACATGCACTCGATCACTCCTAACTCTCCACCCTGTGCAAGAGGAGAATAACAATTAAAATCTTACAGATATGTGCTAGTACTTCTCATGGCATTTCCAAACTAGTTTAAGGCTGTGAGAGGTTCTTGATTTGCATTTTTTGTTACACCAAATAAAATACCAAAATAAAATCATTATTTCTCACTTCACTACATAAAGGATGGAGCATTTGAATCTGTGTGCTTTTCTTTTATTCTCAATGACCAAATCTCTCACTAGCTTCATGGTGAGCTAGACTGCATTTATTATCCTTCAGGGTTCATAATATTTTCCCAATATCTCACTATTTTCTGATAGCACTGAGGAAAACAGTACTGACTACCGACTAACTCTTCTTCCCAGTTTATCTCAAAACCACACAAATTCCTTACTTAGTTAGTTACACCTGAGCATGAGTCTTGATTACTGAATAAGAAATGTATATAGGAACAAGTTCTGCCTTCTGGAAGGGCTTCTGTGTCATACAGTCCCAGATAAAAAATCAGTCTGTTTATCACTGGCTTTAACTCACTGTAAGATATTATTCTGTTAACATCAGGGTCTCAAAGCTTGCTGGGGGCACAGACGGACTTGTTCAAGTCCAGGCAAGTCCTGGGCAAAGGTTGTGAAAGGTTGAGAACTTTGATGGACAAGTCCTGGGCAAGGGTTGTGAAATCCTTTGTCTGGGGGACACAGATGGACAAGGCCAGGGGCAAGGAGAGATGAGCTGCAGCTAAATGGCTGTGAAGTGCTCTTTTGTGTGGATTTATCTCAGGATGAGGCCATCTCAGGGGGTACTCACACGTCTCTTGCTCAAGCGCCCAAGGATATCACGTAGGCAGGAGGAAGAGGATAAAAGAGGAATCGAAAACCATGAGGATAGGTTTCTGACAACAGATTCCTTACGAAGTGATGCCTGCATGCTGAAGTAGTAGAAAAGATGTCTGCCATCACATTCCTCACTACGGAATTCCCGCATGCTGACAGACTCTCCTGGGCTGCTGCCTGAGCGCTGCTGCTTCCTCCCGCATTGGCTCCATGACCGCCTCCTGCTGCCTGCTTGCTGCCCAACGCCGCCACGCTGCTGCTGCTCCCCCCGCGCTGCTTCTGCCTCGGACCTCAAACGCTGTGCAACGGGACGCTGCTGGATCCTGGTGATGACCATCCCCGCTTTACACAACTCTTGCTTCTTTCCTGTCTTTTCTATCGCCCTCCTTCCCTTCCCCATCTCCCTGATTAGGATTTGTAATAAACTGGTTGGACCAACATTTGAACCGTTGTTTCTTAATCTCACACCGGGTATACAGATATTAAAAGAACCTCATCTTCCTCCTATAAATTGGAGTGAGACACTCATAATTCTACAGTATAATATATTTTATTAAACACAGTTTTTTAGGGGGAAAAAAAAAAAAAAAAAAAAAAAAAGATTCACTCTCTATTCTGACTCTGGTAGCCAAGTACTCTTCCTAAAGAGTAAAAACAAGGTAGAGGAACAGCTACTTTTTAAGAAAGTTTCATATCTGATTACTGTATACTGTCTATATACTCATCACTAGGAGAATGCAAAAAAGAAAGATGTTGACTCTTGATAAATCAGTAATTGCGAAAGAAAACATTTGGATTTATTTTATGTTCCTGAAATGTTTAAAGAACCCCCTCTGATAAATAAAAAGGAAAAACTGATCTCCCCACATGTGGAGAAGGCTGAGGCACTTAGTGAGTTCTTTGACTCCGTCTTCACTTCCAGCCAGGCTTCTCATGCCTCCTGTGACCCTGAACTTCTAAGTGGGGGTCCAGGGAGCAAAATCCCTCCTAGTATAAGAGCTGATCAAATCCAAGACTATCTCATGGGATTGAATGTCCCCCTCTGCTTGGCTCTTCTCCCTCTACACTGCTCTTGTGAGGCCCCATCTGCAGTGCTGCATCCAGACCTGATGCCCCCAGCACAGGAAAGAAATGAAGCTCTTAGAACAGGTCCAGAGTACAGCCACTAAGTTGATCAGAGGGCTAGAGCATCTCTCTGACAAAGAAAGTTTGAGGAAACTGGGCTTGTTTAGCTTGGAGAAGACAAGGCTCCAGGGAAAACAGGAAGGGTGGCCTTCCCGTACTTGAAGGGAGCGTATAAACAGGAGGGGGAATGGCTATTTATGGGGGGATAGTGATAGGACAAGGGGGAACAGTTTTAAACTGAGGCAGGGGAGGTTTAGGTTGGATATTAGGAGGAAGTTTTTCACTCAGAGGGTGGTGATGCACTGGAACAGGTTGCCCAAGGAGGCTGTGGATGCCCCATCCCTGGAGGCATTCAAGGCCAGGCTGGATGTGGCTCAGGGCAGCCTGGTCTGCTGGTTGGTGACCTTGCCCACGACAGGAGCATTAGATGATCCTTGGCGTCCTTTTCTACTCAGACCATTCTACAATTCTATGATGAATGTGTACAAGTCTATGGAGCTAGCTGACAGGCATCCCAGGTTTCTGAAGGAACTTGCTGATACAATTGTCAAGACACTCTCCATCATATTTGAAAAGTTGTAGCTGTCAGGTGAAGTCCTCAGTGATTGGAAAAAGTAAAACATCTCTCTCATATTCAAGAAATGGAAAAAGGAAGACTCAGGGAATTACAAACCAGTAAGCCTCATGTCTGTGCTTAGGAAGATCACAGAGTGGGTCCTCCTGGAAGTGATGTTAAGGCACATGTGAGATCTGGAGGTGATCCAGTACAGCCAGCACAGCTTCACCAAGGGCAGATTGTGGCTCACCAGTCTGATGGTCTTTTTTGTTGCAGTGATGGCACTTGTAAACAAAGGAAGGGCAACTGATGTCATCTACCTGGACTTCTGCAAGGCCTTCAATATGGTCCCACACCACATCCTTATCTCTAAATTGGAGAGATACTGATCTCAAGGCTGGACTGTTAGGTGGATAAAGAATTGGCTGGATGGTCATAGGCAGAGGGTTGGTGTCAGTGGCTCTAGGTCCAGGTGGAGGCCAGTGATGGTTGGTGTCCTCCTGGCATCCATCTTGGTAATGGTACTATTCAACATTTGTGTCAACGACTTAGATAATGAGATTGAATGAATCCTCAGCAAGTTTACTGAGTACACTAAGCTGTTTTATTTGACAATAAAAGGGAGGGACACCATACAGAGGGATCTGGACATACTTGAAAAGTGGGCACACAAGAATCTAATGAAGTTTAACAAAGCCAAGTGCAAGGTGTTGCATTTGGCTTAAGGGAATTAGGACAGACTGGGAGAAGAGCGCATGACAACAGCACTATGGAGAAGAACTTGGGGGTACCAAAGGATGAAAGTCTGGACTTGAGTATGCACTTGCAGCCTGGAAGGCCAGCATAATCCTGGGCTACCTCAAAGGAGGGGTAGTCAGCAAGGAGAGGGAGATGATTATTTTTCTCTACTCTGCCTCTGAGAGGACCCATCTAGAGTAATGTGTCCTAGCATGGGACCCTCAGCACAAGAAGGGTGAAGAGCTGTTGGAGCAGGTTCAGAGGAAAGCCATGAAGATGTTCAGGAAACAGGAGCACCTCTCTTATGAAAAAAGGTTGAAGAAGTCAGGCTTGTTTATCTTGAAGGAGGCTCTGGGGAGACCTTATTGCAGCATTCCAGTGCTTGAAGGGAGCTTACAAGCAGGAGAAGGACTGACTGACATGATCTGATAGAAATAGGACAAAAGGAAACAGCTTTAAACGAAAAGAGAGGAAATTTACATTAGGTACTAGGAAGAAATTTCTTGCTCAAAGGATAGTAAGGTGCTAGAACAGGTTGCATAGAGATATTGTAGATGCCGCATCTATGGAGGCTAGGTTGAACAGGGGCAGTCTGATCCAGAGGTTGACAACACTGCCCATGGCTACAGGGTTAGAATACACAATCATTTTTGTTCCTCTCAACCTAAGCCATTCTAAGACTCTACAACTGGCTTACTGAAACTGGAGGTTTTGATTCATAGTCTACAATAGAAGAAGCTTCTGTTGCCCTTATCTTGAAAAACCTTCAGGTAAGACGTCACTTTTTTTTTACTTGGACAGAGGCAAAATATCTGATTTATTTATCTGAGCAAAGGCAGATATCAAGGGTTGGAAGGATAAGACATGACAAGTTCACATGCTGGCT